ATGGTGAATCGGCAGCAACGAGGAGAGCCCGAGAGAGACGGCCCACCTGCGAGAGTCTTTTCCTTTTTTTTTGAAGTGAGGTTCGGCTAAAGGAGTGCGGCGTTGCAGAGGCGAATGGAGCCCGTTTTGCCAAAAAACGTAAATTAGCAACAGGCCACATCTATACTTCCACGAGAAGCATAGTTGTGTTTTCTGAAATGAAAAAAATATAGTTTGTGCTTTCGTGAAAAGGGAAAAGCACAATTGTGCTTCCATTTTTAATTTATGAAAAAGCACAATTGTGCTTTTGAGATCCAGCCCCCTCCCCCCGTTTTAGGTCTTCTTTTTCATTTTGTTTTTTTGGTTATTGTGTATTGGTTTCTGGTTTTTCTACTCTCGACTTTTTTTTCTAAGTTATTCATGAAAATAAGTTCGTCGAAACTTACTGATATGGAGTCTAGTTTCAAATACCTCCACACGAGAAATCCAAAGATCAAGGGATGCGCGCAGGGACGAGCACCCCTATTTCTCGCTTTAACCAAGCACAGGGGAATCCTCGTGTCGGGAGGAGCCCCGATGGGCCGGCCCAGACGCGCGGGAGGCCAATGGCTGTTGTTTCTTCTTCTGTTTTCATGTTTTGCTATATTTTTGTACTTTTCTTTATATTTTAAATTATTATTATATATATATATATATATATTGAAAAAGTATTTGAAAAATGTTGTATAAGTATTAAAACATGTTGAAAATGTATTTGAAAAATGTTGAACAAATATTTAAAAATCTTGAATATGTATTTAAAATGTTGAATGAGTATTTGAAAAATGTTGAGCAAGTATTAGAAAATATTGAATAAGTATTTGAAATGTTGAACAGGTATTTCAAAATGTTGAATAAATATCAAAAAATGTTGATCGAGTATTTGAAAAATATTGAATAAGTATTAAAATTGTTAATAAGTATTTAAAATATGTTGCATAAGCGGTTTGACAATGTTGAACGTGTATACAAAAACTGTTGATCATTTATTAAAAATTGTTTTTGACATATATAAAAATGTAGAGTGAAAACGAAAACAAACATGAGAAAGAAAACAAAACAAAAAACATAAGAAAGGAGGTTGGGCGTAGTGGCTAGTGCAGCACGCCTTCAACCTTGTAGACTAGGGACCGATCGCCTTCGTGCATTTCCTTTTTACAATATATATGCCCATGTAAATGTGCCGGCCAAATATGTTGAGAGGAGAAAAGGCTTCAGCGAAAGCTGGTGCTGGTCTCCCTCAAGGCGGCGCTACAGGAAACGTGCGGGAGCATCCAACTAAAAAGCGCTTGTTGCCAGCCTTTCCAAGGATCACTTGGAGATGGACTGAGAGCATGTCATTTGGCGCGCATTCAGCTGTCGTCATGTGTCGTGTTCTGGGTGCTTCCTTTAATTTTTTTTTCTGGACGCGTTTTTGACTTTTTAGATGTTTTTTCGGGTTTTTTTTGCCTTTTGTTTTTCACCAGTCTTCCATAGCTTTTGTACCAATTTTTTTTGTGAAAAATATTTTTTTACGTGAAAAAATGCGTTTCTTTTTTGTTTTGTTTTTTGCGAGAGGCGCGGTTTTGCTTCTGCGAGAGACACAACCATGCCTCTCAAAAACGAAAAAATACGTTTTTTTTTATTTTTCTTCCGCGAGAGGCATGATTTTGCTTCCACAAAAGGCACGGCCGTGCCTATCGGAAACAAAAAAAAACGCATTTACTCTTTCTTTTTCTTCCGCGAGAGGTATGGTTGTGCTTCCGCGAGAGGTCCGTGCCTCTGGATACGGGAAAAACGCGTTTTTTTATTCCGCGAGAGGCATGGTTTTGCTTCAACGAGAGACATGGTTTTGCTTCCGTGAGAGGCACGGCCGTGCCTCTCGGAAACAAAAAAAAATGTGTTTTCTCTTCTTTTTTTCTTTCACACGAGGCACGATTTTCCTTTCACGAGAGGCATGGGTTTCCTTCGTGAGAGGCACGGAAGGAGAAAAAACATGCTCCCGGTCCATTTTTTGTATGGTTTTTTCATAAATTAAAAGTTCATGAAAACCTACTCGACATGAGGAGTCCAACGGTTCGAGACGTACCGACTCACAGATTGTGACAGGTGGCACATATGCAGCGCATCACTTGTCGTGACCTGGGAAGGTGGAAGTGATCTTTGAAAGAAGTACTTCTCATGAGTGATTTTGAGAAACGTGCAATCCCCTTCCCTCTCCTCTCCACTAGCTTTGGGCCGGCCCAAATTCAGTTCGCGGCTCCCTTGTGTGTGTGTGTTTTAACCTTTTTCCCTCTTCAAAAAATGTCCATGATTCAAAGAAAAACATGATTTGAAATAATGTTCTAGAATTTGACATTTTTTACATTTTAAACTTTTTCATGACTTTTAGAAATTTCTTGAATTTTAAAAATGTTCACGGATTTGAAAATATTCAGGGGATATTCAAAAATTATTCATGAATTTGAAAAATGATATTCATTCATAAAATGTTAATAATTTTGAGAAATCTTCAAGGATTTAAAAACAATGTTTGAAAAATGTTATCAAATTTCAAATACTATTCGCAAATTGGAAAAATTGTTCTGAATTCAGAAAAATTTCTTGATTTTGATAATTTTGTCTGGATTTCAAATGTTTCTCACGAATTTACAAAAAATTTCTTGGATTTCAAAAACCTTGGGAATTTGAAAAGGTGTTCCTAGATTTAAAAAAAATCTTCATGAATTTGATGCCGGGCGTGGGCACGTCTGTGTTCCTTGTCATGCTTTTCGTGACGTGGGTGCGTCCGTGTCCACCTCCTTCTCTCCCCCGCTAGAGTCCATCGTTTGGATGTTGATGTCACCGGTGGAGGTGAGGTCGACAATCGACGTGGACAGTCCATCCTCATGGCCATTGCGGCCCAGCGCTGTAACACCCCGGATGTAACTTTCCCAATTTGTACTCCAACTCTTGCCGTTTCCGGCGTTAAGTTATTTTATTTCCTCGGGTTCGGGTTTTTGTCTCCGTGTGTTGTTGTCGTTGTCATGCATCTCATATCATGTCATCATGTGTATTGCATTTGCATACGTGTTTGTCTCATGCATTCGAGCATTTTCCCCGTTGTCCGTTTTGCATTCCGGCGCTTCGTTCTCCTCCGGTGGTCATGTCTAGCTTTCTTTCTTGTGTGGGGATTAAACATTTCCGGATTGGACCGAGACTTGCCAAGCGGCCTCGGTTTACTACCGGTAGACCGCCTGTCAAGTTTCGTGTCATTTAGACTTCGTTTGATACTCCAACGGTTAACCGAGGGACCGAAAAGGCCTCGTGTGTGTTGCAGCCCAACACCCCTCCAATTTGGCCCAAAACCCACCAAACTCTGCTCCATGTCCTAGAGCGTTCGATCACAATCGCGTGGCCGAAAACCGCACCTCATTTGGACTCTCCTAGCTCCCTCTATGCCTATATATATCTCCCCCCATTCGAATCACGGACGAAACCCTAGCCCCTCTCCTCCTCCGACCGCCGGACAAAATCCGGACGGCCGGACATTCTCCACTCCACCGCCAGCCACCCGCGGAACGCCACATGGCGCCGCGTGCCCGCATCGCATCCCGCCTCCTCGCGCCCGGCCGGAGCTCCCGGCCGCCGCCGCCTCTCCGCCCGGCGCTCCGCAGCGCCGCCCGGCCGCGCCGCCCGGCCTCGCCTCTCCCTCGTCTCGCCGGCGACGAGCCGGCCTCGCCAGAGTTACAGTACCCCGCCGGGTTCCTCGGGAGGCGCGCCCGATCTGGATCCGGTTCGCAGCTACAGTAACCCTAGATCCCGCGAGGTGTTTTTTTTCTCCAAGTCCTGAAATCTGCAGATCCAACTGCCTCTGTTCGGGG